AAAAGTGTGTATATGCATGTTATAAAAAACAAACTTACTTTATCTGATTATTTTTAATTAACATCACGTAGTCACCTTTTTCTATTAATAATTCTTTTAATTATTTTAGCTTATTCGCGTGTTGTTTGAAATTTTAAAATTATGTTTGGATTATTCTATATATAATATGTGATATCTCATTAATGATGATATTTGTCACATTCCATTCGCTAAAGCATATATTTTACAGCGTAGATGCTATATTGGTTCTATTATACTCTGTCACCGCATAGATATTCATATACGTGTAAAATATAGAGACGACATTTACTATAATGGAAACTAATTTATCGACAACGAATCTCATGCAACATCGGTGTTGATATTTGTGTGTATAATAATTCAATATTAGAATAATGCAAGAGCATTATTAAATTCCTATTATTAGTAATTAGTAATTATTAAACTTGACAACCAGATAATAACTGAAAATATTGAAATTGAATACAGCATTTAGCTTTTTCACAATATAGTATTACGTAATAACCTATATAAAATTATATATATGTACAAATATAATAATTTCTTTTGCGTACACTCCAATAATTTTTAGATACTGTACAGCGTTGATCAAAACTCGCCGTTCCTGCTATTGACGATCCCACATTAAGCAGCATAACTATATATAGCTGCATTGATAATAGCTGCATTGTTGTGCGAATCATTGTTGGTAGCTATGCGGGTTGGTACAAATAACACAACAGCATGTTTTTACGTGATATCTGAAAGATTGAAATCATTCGAAGCAATGCGTATAATGCAAAGCGTGTAGGCTGTCCGATATTACGTTGCGAAAAGAATTCTGCAAAAATAAAAGCAAAATGGAACAAACGATATTAAAAGTGAAAGTGGGTCGTAATATCGATTCTAGATGGTGACCTGTTTCTAAATAGATTATGAGATCAAGCCTACATTTCCCCGTATTCCTACATTCGAGTGGAGAGTTACACAGCCACAGAAAATTGCACACACACATACATATACATATATACATATATAATTTTAAAATATCTATTTATTTTAACTTTTCCTTACAATTATTTATTTTTAATTAAACAATACTATATTGTGTTTCTGTGAATATATGTGAATTGAAAATTAATTTACTACAATTTACTACAAATACATTATCTTATTTTATTCGCAAAAACTTTGAATACACCAAAATATTTCATTCATTGTTTCTCGATATCTAAATTTATGGTATACATAAGTATTATATTGTTGCACTGATGCATTTTTCATATTCTAGGCCGAGTATTTATTCAAAAAGAATCCTGAGGGAAAAATGTTTGAGCCGGATTATACGGAAACAATGAGTATGCTCTTGGATACTATCGGACGGCAACAAAACGATGTCCTTCCCAAAGAAGGATTGAAAGCTGACGTAGAGCAATTTCTGAAGAAGCAAGATGAATTATCCACCGTGGATGAAATAGAAAAAAGTGAAACGCAGGACGTGTGCGGAGAGATAAAAATGATATCAATCTCTGAGCAGACTTCTGAGCAGACTTCCGAATACGAAGAAATTGATGATTTTGAAAAAGAGGAGTTGAATTTTGCTGAACAAATGATCGATGAATTTGGAGGAAAAGCTTAATACATTCGTCAAATCAATTTTAATACAGGAACTTTTTATGAATTTTATGTGAGTTGAAAAAGTATCTCTAATGCTTATGATATTTCACTAATCATTTTGACTTTATTCTATTTATTTTACTTTAATGCATTTTTACGATTACGAATATTTAAATAAGAGACACTCAATGTAAATTCTTCAATATCAACTTCGTGCATAATTGCTTTGTTAACTTAACTGTGACGATTTTTTTATGCAAACGCTTTTTTTTTAACTCAATAATGCCCATGCTCATCCAGACGTAACTTTCTCTTTAGACACGTGCAATGTAAGCTAAATATAACATAATGTATATAAACAATCTTATTATATACTTTTTAAATTAAATTACACATTTTTGATACTCTCTCACAAAGCATAATACATGTCATAATCTCACGGAGCATATAATATTTATTTTATTTTTAATGCGAACGCCTGATTTTGCATTTATATAGGCATTCAAGTTATTCTACTGTGCAACAAGCAAGCGTTTCAAGCTGAACGTTTAAAGTGACGCCCACGATTTATCTCTTGCATCAAGATGGAATCTTACTTGCTGGAATCTTGCCTTACATGTATTATCAGCAAATAAAAATAACAGAAATTTAAGAATCTTCTATCCTTCTTTGGGATATTTTAATATTGTATATTTTAGTATTATAAGATAACTTTTTCATCGAAAATTAAATGCGTGAGAAAAGTTTAATTAAAGAAAATCTCTGTTTACACAAGTTTATAATTTATACACGTGCCACTTCCCGAAAAGGCCTTCAGAGACCAAAGTTTATAATCCTTGACTAAGAAGCGTAAGTGTGAAAAACACATTTTAATCAAAGTTAAAAGTTGCTATAAATATGAAGAAACGCAGGATATTAAATTAATCGTTTTATGGAAATCAAAGGAAGATATAACTGTTTTTATTGTAGAAATCAAAGCTTCAATCCTTTAAAAAAAACATTCTGATACAAAAAATCATATTTTTTCACGGCATTCTTTGATGGTCATATTTTTATTATTGTTTGTCATTTTTTATAAATTTAAATAATAGCGTTAATATAATAATATTATGCGATGAGAGAAGAAAAAGTTTGCGTTTTATTGAAATTATAGTAAATAATCAAGTGTTCCTTCCGATTGACAGAAGTATTTCATTTTCCGAGTAGGCTTTGAGTCGTATCTAATTTTCAGTTCATTTAGGACCTGTTGATATGTAAATATTAGTTCGTCTAGCTTTACTCTTCTCTGCTAATATGTGTCTTTGATCATAGCTACATTATAAACAGATGATGAAGACTTGATTTAACACGACCAACCAGCACATTGCGGCCTTTAATCACATAAATTCTCGTAATGGTTGTCATAACGATAACGTGTTGTCCCGATAAAAGCGGAATAATAACTCGTTACTATAAAAATATACACAATCGCCGTAATTGCAAAAGCGGTGTGTAATTTGCTCGTTTAGAGAGTTACATCAATTAATTAATTGATGTCATTATAGATCAAATTATACGCGTATGCTTTCCACGCGTTGCAGTTTAATTACGCAGATAATATGCCAATATCATAATATAAATAGCAGATTATGCATCACACAAAATTATTCAACCTTTCGATATCTCGCTATCAATTTCACTTATGACTAACCCTGAAATGCGAGCATGTTTAAGTTTAGTGTCTTTCAGAAAACATTGCGAAAGTTTCCAAATCAAGTACTTGAATAAGGCCAAGGGCAAAGATTTCATACAGCGCCATATCTCTTATTCTGCATATATATATTTTCGGAGATGGCGTCTTTCTCGTACTATTTGTATACAAGCAATATATGAATTAAATGTACCTGCAGCAACATGATTTACCTCATGATTTACCTTGAAATATAGGATTATTTTTATACACACGCAAGGTCATAATATAATTCATTACAAAGAGAGAGTTACCTTGCTTTATTATAATTATTGTAATTCCGCAACACATATGGAAATGCTTTTCTTTTGTTAGAATTAAACTTGTAAATAATTCGAGAAAAATGGGTAAAAAATTATAAAATAGAAATAAATTATGCATTCAAATGTTCCACATGTGAGAGTAAACTCAAAAATTAAGGAAATGTATGCGGCTGATTAGCTTACAAATGTTACGTAGCTTTAATTCACGGCATCGATTCAAGCTTTACACCTACCAGTAGAAATTGGGTCAGTTTACAGTAACCTCGTTTTGATCAATATTATGTAATATCCGTATTGAAAGTAGATCCCTGGATCGGAGATGTTTATTATCGTTGATCGACAGACAATGTTCTATTCATTCTACCTGTCAATTTCTATCGACTCTATCACAGAACGTGGACATGGGAGCGAAGTCCCCATATTCTTTGTGAAACTTTATCGCGGTACTTATCGATTCTTACAAATATAAATAGTGCTAAAGTGTTGCTTTTGTATTTATATATACTAAAAGCAACATATATGCCTCATACAATATTAGCAACACAATGTCGACAATAATGGTATATAGCTTTAACTTTGATACCATGTCATGGTTGATGAAAACGATACATCAATATGTACTTAAATATAATACATTGTATAGCATTCAATTTGTACGCTTTGCAATTTATTAAAACCCGATGCACAATCAGTGATTAGCCACTATATACATACGCGTGCCTCGCGATTCAACATCAAATTTCAAAAAATTCTTTGAGAGCTTTCTATGTTTATAATATATGTATTTAGTCTTTTTTAAATAAATCAATTATATTAATGTTTGGAATATTTCATCTATATATTTCATCTTTAATATCAAATAAAAATAAATATCATCTATCTTTAATATTTCATCTATCTTTAATATCAAATAAAAATAAATATCTTAGCCAATCTATCTCAGCTTGAATCAAAATTTGAAGCTGTTCCACTTATTTAATGCCAATTAATTGATACTGATCCTCTGAGCAAGCCGCGATCATACGAGTGATCTACATAGTTAGCATTCCTTAACGTGAAACAGTAAACCGGGAATTCAAGGCTGGCAATCGCAAGTATAGTCTGATGTTACAACGATGCCGAAGATCGAATTTGCCCGATGGTACTGGCGCATGAAAGCACCGCGGGCTGTATATCTGTATCTCCAAACACCTGTTAGCAGTAGCTCTTGAGTGGGTGGCTCGCCACATCGCCTTTAAACCGGTGGCATCGCGAGCAAGTAGGAATTCCTGCGTCCCTTTTAAGCTGAGCGAACGAGCGAACAGACGGCCAGCGACCTTGATGGTTCTGGCATCTGATAGCATCGCTCGTTCTTTTCGCGCGTAAAAGTATATAAATCAATTCACACTTACCGGCGTGACCCTGCAGCGAGTAATTCGCTTCCTCACTCGGCACAACTGTCTCCTCTAGGATGCTCTCCGAGGCCGTCTTTACGATTCCCATCCTTGATGCACGCCGGATGCTGCGGACTGATCGTGTCAAGGGGATAGACACACGATGATAATTTTTTTTCTCTCTCTATCTTAATTCCTCTTCAATCCCACGGCGATTATCACGTCTCGATTGTGCCGCGTTGTCTGGCGTCGCCGGAATGCTCGGCGCCGTTTTGTCCGCCTATTGCGTCTGCGTTCGCGCCTGCGTTCATCCCCCTCGCCGTATCTCCGTCCGTCCCCTCGCCTCCATACTCTTCTTGACCCTCGTGCATCCCCCGTTGCCACGGTCGGCACCTCACCCTCATCGAATTGTCATATAGGAGCAAGGCTATTCCTCTAGGCCAAAGTGAGCGCAGTAGGTAGGAGGGATTGTGGCGTAGTGGTGATGATGATGACAGGGGTAGTGGTGGTGACGGCGTCCTCTTTATACCGTGAGACGGCAGGGGTTGCTATTGCTGCTGTTTTCGCTGCCGCTGCTGCCGCTGTTGCTTATGACGGCTGGTTCTCCTACCTGCCGCTGCTGTTTGTAGGGCGGGGTGCAACGAGCACACGGCGCACAGGGGCAATGTCGACCTATCTCGGTCTCGGTGAAGGTCTCCGCTGGTTACTCGTGCCGGATAATACTTCCCTCTTGAGCGCGTCCCGTTTTCATCACACGCTCTTTCCGGCATGTCCTTTCTCTCTCTCTCTTTTTCACTCTCTTGTTCCTTCCTCTGATTTTCTCTCTTTTTCGGCTTTCCCGGCTTTACGGTCTATGTTTTATTTTAGTTTGTTAATTCGTATCCTGCTGTTGCCACTAGCCTGAGTTGATTTTTCACTTGCTGTAGCGTGATGTTATAAATTTGATTTTTATACAAATGAAAAAATTTTAAAAACCGAGGAGCTTTGCGAATTACAATATTTCGTTATTAACTTTATTTTTTATACTTTCTTCCTTCTTTGTTTTGAATTTCATCTTTTTCTGCATGATGGCATTTCGACGCTAAAATGAAGCAACAGATCAAAATATATAGAAATAATTTTATTATGTATATCTTATAAATATATATACTTTTTATTGCATAAATACTGATTAACTATAAAAATATTAGACGAAGTTGTCACGTAAAAACATAAAACATTAAGAAAATAATATTAACATATATTATATAATATATATATATATATATATATATATATATTATAATAATATTAATAATAATATTAACATAAATTATATATATATATATATATATATATATATATATAAATTATATTGTACAATTCTAATGAAAAAAATAAAATATATTACATGTAAATAAATTGTAAAAAATTAAAGTGATCAGTTAGGCGTTAAATATTAAACCCTGAAAGAATTTCACTAGTTTATATTCTTTCAGGGTTTAATATTTAATGTTTTCTCTCTATACGAACTTTTATAATATGCTCTATCTCCGTTACAATTTTTTGCGCTGAAGATGACTTAAAAGTAAGTCGAAACGTCCGCACACATCTTCAACATCTTTATATATTATAACTATCTTGCTTAAAGCTTGTAATTATGATTTATTAATATATATTTTGATTAACATTTCTACATTATTGATTCTTTAGCTCTCTACGCCTGACTGATCACTTTAATTTTTTGAATTTTACTGAGAGCTTTATTTTTATTTTTGTAAATAAATTGTATTCATTTTTTTTTTCAGAGAATATTATTCTTTTTATTACTGAAGTTTTCATCATTTTTAGCATTTTAATACTCTACTCGTGTTGATATTCGGCAAAATAAATGTTGTTATATCTTTTAACCAATCGAATTGTTATAAATTCAATAAAAACTAAAGAATGAAAAAATACAGAGAAAAACAGAGAGATAAAGAGAGAAAGAGAGAAAGAGAGAAAGAGAGGGGAGAGGGAGGGGGAGGGAGAGAAAGAGAGATATTCAGAGAAAAAGGGAGAAAGAGAGATAGGAGGGCAAGAAAGCTTGGATTATATCTGTTTATATCCATATGTATACAAGCCGAAAATCGCTTTCCGTCGAAACGTTCGCAACACGTGTTTGCCCTTGAAATCTCCCACAACCAGCGCGGGGTGCCTCGTTGAACGCAAGAGGCGATCGTTAAATCACACCCTTTACCATGTACTCGCGCTAGAAATCTCGGAATCCCGACTCGCCCGTTTAACTACGCCACGATGTCTCGAATAATCCCCGCATCTACCTTAATCCTTAGTGTCTCCTCGTATGACTCGCTTTGTTCGCAAGTGTGCGACACCTGCGTCATAGGGTTTGCTTCCGCTTTATTGAGTGTACCGCCTGTGAGATCTCGGCTAAAGGCTTTTCGCCCCTCCAGACTATCCTTCTAACAATAAGTGTCGCAGTCAGACAGGGAATCGGATTCACGCAGATATCTCACGTTGCTAGGGACTTGTATAAGAGTCTTGTTGAGAGATCGTGACTTATATCTGAATGAATATAGTATCTTGCGACTTGCAATATAATATAGAGAACGATCGGAGTCTAGAAAATAACGCATCGTATTTTACTTATCAAATTTGTAAATACATTTTATTATATATATATTTAAAAATTCTATAATATTAATTATTAATATAAATTAAATAAATTAATATAAATTAATATAAATTAAATAATATATATTAAATGCAAAATATATTTGTAATAGTAAAAGAAAAAATTAAAATTGATAAATTTCAATCGATTGAGAAATATGTAGTAATATGCAAATGATATATATTCTCACCTGTAGTTTCGTTTAAATGTTACATTAGAATAACAAGTTTTCAACATTTCAAATCATGTTAATAATTTGAAATATTGAAATGTTTATGATTAATAATAAACCTTTTTATTATTAATAAACTTCTTTATTATTTTAATCGGTATATAATAACATAATTATAATAGTTATAATTATAATAACATAATTATAAGTATCCTGTATAAATATTATTATGAATTGTATTATGTAAATGTATGGACATTTATGTATATGATTTTACATATACAATACAATAAGGGATATTAAATATTCTGTAAAATTAATAAAATTAATTGAGATAGCAATTATGCTTTCACGCGTTATATCGATTCATTAAGACCTTGTTGACTTTCTATTCTATTTATAATAACAGAAAGGAGAAAGAACTATCCCATGCTTTTAAATCGATTAGACTTTTCATGTACGTGCAACATTTTTTCGTCATTAAATTCCATTGTCAATAATAGAACAAGATAAGTGCATTGACTTCTATTCCAAAGTAATATGTATAAGATATAGTCATAATAAAACTTGTTGCATTGCTGTGTTATTTTCACTTGACTATATGTCTACGAATCGATATCTCGCTTCTATCACGGATTCTAGCTTAAATCGATTTTCGATTATCATGTTAAATAAATGTACACATAAATTCTTCAAGGACTTGATAAAATGCGCTGATCAAATATTTTCTAATGATCTTCTATTCCGTTTTTTCAAAAACAGATTTTTTTCAAACAACTTAAATTCTTTCGATTATTTGATATCCAAGATTGTATTATTTATTTTATAATATATATTTTATGCTTATTATGCGCGGCCTCTAAGTTTTCTAGCACCCAATCTCGCAAAGCCTGAATTCTTTTCATACGCTCTTTCCAATTTTCGGGATTTGCTTCCGCGACTTCGACAGCGGACTCGTGTCTTCCACGTACGGTATTAACCGGCTGAGATTCCCTACAAAAATTTAAGAACGCAGGAGTAGTCTGTAAGGAGGTATGGTACGCCGTATTGTATGCGAATCTGAACTCAGGCAAGTGTACATCCCATTCACGATGATCGTTTTTGGGAAACGCCATAATCATAGTTTTAAGTACCCTATTGACGCGTTCTACCGGATTTGCCTGAGGATGGTACGGAGGTACGGTCGAGTGAACGATGCCATACTCTTCCGCAAATGCCTGTAATTCTCTGTTTATGAATTCGGTGCCGTTATCCGTCAGGAGTACCCGCGGCGCGCTCCAACGGTTTATTATTAATTCGCTTAAAAGCTCGCGAATCTTTTTTGCCCGTTACTTTCCGGAGTGGGCTACATTCAATTTGGTAAACAAGTCTTGAATTATCAGAATATACGCGTTTATTCGGCACTACAAAAACGAATTTTTATTACGATATCATTAACCTCGACAACCTTCTCAAAGATTCCTAAAATCTCTAGTTATGTATTATGAACACTGTAAAAAGATTGACTTTTCGAAATCGGGATACAAGCGTGAGCAGAGACAAATTTATTTTTTATCAAACTTATCGGAGATCCCGAATCAATCATGGCTTCAAGCGAATATTTACTGTTATTATTTGAATCATCCGCAACCTGATACGAGAGGGATATTAAATATGGATCGATTAACGGAAATATTTGGATCACGTTTGTTATATTCCCCGTTCTTGGTTGTGACCTGGAACAATCCTTTATTCGATGCTCCAAACTGCCGCATCTGAAACATGAACTTTTTTCACGCTTTTGCTCCTGTTTACATTCTTTGGAAAGATGTCCAGTTGCTCCATAATTATAACAGCGAATAGAATGATTTCGTGTCGTGGAAACTTCTCCTTCACATGATGATTTTGTTGATGACGCTGGCCGTTGCCTCTTCGAAGATCGCTCTGCATTGCTTCTTAATCCGCCGTTTAATAACTTTCGAAAGGCAAATCTGTCGTTGATGAAGCGCTGCATCCGTGCCTGATCCTGCATACGTACGTCCGGTACTCCATCGATTAAGTTGTCAATTAGCTCCCGTTCATCGATGGACGCTTTATTCGAAAGAATTATTTTCTCATGGTAATATACCGAGAACGACTCTCCATGTCGCCATTTGCGTCTTTCAAAATCCTTCCGCAGTGTCAATCTGCTGGGTCGATTATTAAAATTTCGAGACATCTCACGAAGCAACTCGATAGCACTCAATTGCAAATATTCTGTTCTTGAATGGAATCAGCTCAATGCCTTGCTTGTCAAACGTAAATTGATCAATACTTTCGTCAGATTGTCAAGTCGATAAGTCGCGCGCACAAATTCAATCTGTCTTTTCCATGTATCAAAATTATCACAATCGCCATGGAATTCACTCACCATATCACTAATAGTTCGAATGTTAAATCTGGAATCAATAACGTGATCATTGGCATTGCTCTCCATGCTAGGCGTCACGTTTGCCTCGCGTCGGACGAGGCTCAATTCTCGCTCCAAAAGAGCTTTCTCGCGCCGCAATATTTCAAGCTCTCTTGCCATTAACTCTGGTGGAACCGCAAGGTGATCTGGAATCGCTGCCGTTCCCCCTGAATACGACGCTACTTCCTCGCTTGCACATTGCACGTGTGTGCAAATCCTGCGACGGCAAACCTTGCGACGAACTGCTATCCGTTAGATGTTCAAATGCACCTCGCCAAATATTTTCGTCAACGGCCAATATTCGCGCCACTAGTTCGACCTTCGTTCTGGCCATGGATTGTTTGATTTGTCGCACATTCTCTTTCAAATTGGTAACAGTTAGATCGTTCAATATCTCTTGAGGTGGCCGTTTTATCCTTCACAACAACAACACGATTCAATCGGCAGTTTGTATGGTACAAAGTCACTGTTAATCCGATATCGCATCAGCGAAACGCATACAATATTACAAGTCAAAAGTCACACTTCGCGGAAAGCACAAAGCTATCGTCTCAATGTCAATCACGAAGACGCTAATCAATTCAGTAGTTGTCAATAATTACGCAATTAGGCTACCGTAACAACTTACAATTACGAGCCATCGGATCGCAAAACGGCACGATGGTTCAATCTGCGCACCGCTGCCGAC